ATTCTGATGTATTAGGTCAAGCTAATCGCCTTCTGCAGATCCGGTTAGCACGACTGCCGACTGGCTGTTGACCAAATTTAAGGGGTTTACATGATTTATTCGAAGACTGTGGTTCAGATGAGCTCCTCAACTGTCGTGCAACCAGTCAGCTGTTCAGGTTGGTTGTCATAAGAAGATAGAAAAGATGTCCATGAAGCTAGGAGAGAGGAATTGCTAACTAAAGACATGGCGACAGGAATAGGAACTGAATGATATGAGTATGCTAGGTGGACTCAAGTGATAGGGAGGACCACAAAAAGTAGTCTGGAATCATAGACCCACAGTGGAGAGAAGGGGCAGGTGAATGATTTCATTCGCTGTATGGAACACCCCACAAAGTTTCAGTTTTTATATTCACAGATCATTTCATTTCTAACGGCACCTAATATAGATTTGGACTGAGCAGTAGTTCAAAGAGGACTCAAGTGCGGTTATTCACCTGACCTCTCCTGACCAATCTGGTGAATCCGCGAAATTCACCCTTCGGGTTTCTGGAGATTCGATAGCTAGCTCTCGTGGTCTTGCAGGTGTAGGCATAGCATGAAGCACTAGGGCAGAAAGCTCACTACTAGACTGGATCACAATTGATAGTCACCTCTGCGCTATGCGGCTGAACGGCACAGTGAGAACTAAAAGGAATAGGGAGACTCGCCGTTGTCTCTTTATAATCTCTGCTTACGCACCCACTGACTGCAGCTCGGATGATGTGAAGGACGAGTTCTACCGTAAACTGTCTAGCCTACTCTCGAAAGCCAAACGTTTAGACGTGGTGGTTGTTGCAGGTGACTACAATGCACAGGTGGGTAGACTGAGTGAGGCAGAAAGCCACTCAGGTGGCACTTTCGGAGTCCCGGCTGATCGAACAGATAACGCTGACCGCCTACTACAACTGTGCTCAGATAATCGCCTATTTTTAACTGGCACATATATCAGACATAAAGAAAGACACTGTCTGACGTGGCATCCACCGAGCTCAGACCAACGATGGACATAGGTAGACCATATTGCTATTAGTCATCGCTGGAGAGGATCGGTGGAAGACTGCCGCTCTTTCTGGAGTACATGCTTGGATGGCGACCACATGCTCGTCCGAGCGCGTATGTGTGTGAGTCTCAATGGGCGCAAGAACAATTTTTCAGCAAAACCATTACGAGTGCAGCTCAACAACAAAATCATCAAAGCCGTGTTCAGTGAAAAACTGGCTAGGGAGTTATCGGAGCAGAAGACCATCACCCATTCAGAAGAAGCTTAGTGCCATCTTCAGTCTGCTGTAAAAGCAGCGTTGAAGGCCGAAGCCGACTCCGAAACAATGGCCATAAAGCCAATGGATTTCAGAAGCTTCTACCAGACTAATGGATGCATGCGAACGCATCCCTATAGGCTCTGAGTACAATGAAGAGCGAGCACAGCTTAAAAGTGGACTGAGTAAAAAGTCTATGCAACGACTGCGAACAGTGGTGGGCAGCGAAGGTGAAAGAGATGGAAAAGGCGGCAGCGATTGGTGATAGTCCACAGTTGTTTAGACTTATTAAGTCAACTGAGGAAAAAGGTCAACAGCGGTTAGTGAGGCCATAGCGGAGGACGCATCTGCGATTCACTCGCAGGGAAGGCAACTGGGACGATGGGCAGAACACTCCGAGGAACAGTTTAACTGGCCTCCAGCCACGATTGCGCTGCCCGCTATCCAGTCGGACCCTGAATGGGACATAGAGACGGGCCCCCCAACACTAGAAGAAGTTGAGAAAGCGGTAGGTAACCTGAAACGAGGAAGGGCAGCAGGACCAGACGGACTACCCGCCGAGGTATACAAGAATGGTGGTAGAGTGCTCTTAGTCAGGTTAACGGGAGTGTTATCTAGTATATGGGAATCAAATACGATCCCCTCCGACTGGTCTAAGTCACTCATCATCCCAGTCTTCAAGAAAGGTGAGAAGTCCTCTTGTGATAACCACAGAGGAATCAGCCTGACGAACATGGTGTCTAAGATCCTAAGTTCTATAATTCTCCGACGCCTGAGTGGAGCTCGGGAACAGCAAGCCCGAGAAAACCAGGCAGGCTTTAGACCTGGCCGTGGATGTATCGACCAAATATTCACACTGAGCCAGGTTTTGGGACGCAGACATGCTTATTGTCACCCGACACTGGCTGTATTTCTCGACCTGAAGGCGGCGGCATTCGACTCGATCGAATGAGAAATCTTACGACAATGTCTCTCAATGAAGGGCGTACCGAGTAAGTACATCACTCTATTGAAAGCTCTTTGCTGGAGCACCAGTGATGGTGTTGGTGCCTATGGAGAGGTGACTTGTGTACGTCAAGTGAAATCCATCATTATTGCCCACTGTCTCCATTCTTTTTCAACTTTATCATTCATATTCTTATAGAGGTCTCCCCCTCGTCGCCTGATTACATAGACGTTGACCTAACCGTAGGAGGATTTTCGTTACACGTAGAATGTGCAGATGATGTTGTCCTGTTAAGTGAAGACGATGACAAGATGCAGAGTCTTCTGAACACTTTGAATGTCAATTTGAGAATGTTTGGGATGCGGTTCTCACCACCCAAATGCAAATGATTGCTTCAGGACTGGTCTTCAGCGGTACCACGGCTGACAATAGAGAATGAAGTGGTTGAGTGTGTCAAACCACTTCTCGTATATTTAATGGCCATGCGCCACGGCCATATAGTAAAACAGGGGGAGCTACAGCGCAGCACGCTGAATCCTTAATCGATAACTGTATGTCACGACGGTGCCATAAGTTGTCGAAAGCCGTCTTTTGTACCTGTGACCAGATTTCGTCAGTCACTGGCCCACTTCGGCTGGTCTGACTTTCCAGATAGGTGAGATGGTTAGTATATCCAGGGCACCAATGAAGACCAGTCCTGGAGCAGCAGTTTGCATGTGGGTGATGAGAAACGCGTCCCAAGCATTCTCAAAGCTGCATCTTGTCAGTGCCTCCACCTAACAGGAACACATCGTCTGCGTATCCTAGACCTCCCAAGGGTCCTCGGGAGAACCGAAGCAGGCCCAGTCCGACCGTAATGACATAGCAGCAGCCATCTATTGACGTGGTTCTGGAGTGAAAAATGTTCTCAAGAGGGGATGTGCAGAGTGCGGGTGAAGAGAAAGCCCGTGCACATAGCTTCCACACAACTCTTGTCCTTTAGAAAAGAACTCATGCCGATGAAAAATCGAAACTCCGCCATTGTGGTTGGGTATGATTCCGTATCAGGTAGTTTCATCGTCTGGCACACCAAAAAAAATCTGATACAGAACCGATCCAGACTAAGTTGTTTATTTGGGAAACTTTGATAGCACTGTAAGTCCATTTGAATCGATAGGAGGATTTCCAACCGTAAACTTTCCAGAAATTAGTGCTGTGTCGCGGAACACTGTCTTGGACCTGTTATTAAACGTATTAAAAACAAAAGGGCTGATTAAAGTCGAAGAAATCCTTGACCGCTGTTTTGCTGGCTATATAGAAATTTGGAAAGCACTAACGGAAGATTGTGTGTATGGACGTGCTCCAATAACTTTTTGACTTCGTCAGAGACCCAATTATTCCCAATCAGCACAATATACAATCAGAACCACCATGACACTGAGAAAACCCTTTCGCATACGCTTCTAACCTTCAGTGATGCGTGGTGATTAGAAAGTTGAAGATCATGGTTCAGTCACTCAGTTGAAGCATTGCGACAGTTGAGAAGAAAGTAGTTCACCAACCATTTTGTACAATCTTTTCATGATGAAAAAAAAGTACAGGCAATCAGAACTTCTTTGAAAAATAATCTAGATCTTACATTTTATCACTGGAACTGCCAAACGAATCTTTGAAAAAAGAATTTAGGAATCTAACCTCACTGTATCATGTTGTAAATAAGATGAAGACTTTGACGCGCGGGAAATTGAGACGTACTTCCAGATGTGGAAATTTTTCTTTTTCTGGCTATCGAATAGTGACAGCCGAATTGACACATCAGAAGAGTCTGGAAGTGAAGGATGAATAGTATTCCTGAGGAGTACTCGCATTTTCACCCAGTGGCTGACTTTCAGAACCGTCTAGCACGAGTAATCCCAGTATCAAGAAACTAATTCAGAGGGATATAACTGTACTGAGATCACTTCGGAGAGGGCCAACATACGCCTTCTTTTCGAGAAGAAATGTTAGATAAGGCATGACAGAATAAGACCACTATTTAACAGTAGACTAAATGATATTTACAGCTGTGCAATCTTAACACAATTACTTCAGATATACTGAAACGTGGGATTCTCATCCGCCCTAAAAGTTTCAATTTGTGAGATTAAACTCGTGGATTTATTTGCTAATTTGGGAGGCGACTTTTTATTATAATTGAAAAGTACAGAAATTGGATGTCTTCACCTAGTACTCAACACTTCTTCAATCCAATGAATCAATGCGAAACAAAATGAGACGATGAACACAATAACGTCTGCGCTGCAACTCCCTATTAAGACTGAAAAATTAAGAGACGATTAAATGGTTTGTTTAGTCGTGGTAGTGAAGGTCACAGAAGTATCTGAACGCAGAGGTAGATGTATTCCCCCGTGGAAGGCCAGTACTTGCGTATTTGCAGATTTAGTGATGCTGACTTAGGAAGAAAGTACGAAAAACACAATACACATTCCACTAGCTCTGATAAGTAATCATTGAGGTAATAAACACCTGCAAGTATACATCAAGCGATTATCGTTCAACTTATTTTGTTACGCGTTTATTCTTTCAATTCCATCACGATTATATCTAACTGAACCGGCGTTCGAACCACACTTCAAACTTGCATCCAAACTTCTCCAGCGAAGCAAAATCTACCTCTTTTGGACCGAATGAAACAGTGGATCACTGAATATTAGATAAACATAGACCATGGGATACCCAGAAATAAATAGATACTTTTGAACATTCGAGTTTAGCAAATTTAGATTCAGAAATTATTTACAATAGTGGATATGAAATGCGTTCATATACACTTAAAACAGTTTCACGGCCTTCTCTGCATGCTTTATGAGCTTCTTCAGTGCAACCTTGTTCTAATAATTTCAGGACTGAATCTGATTCTTTGAGTTTCTGAAATGAATCAGTATCTTTAATAAAATAAGGACCGTCTTCAAATATATTTGGATCAGAAGACAGCTTTAAGAGTTCATTTGGATTTTTTGTGTCTTTACATTTAGGAGAGAGGTGAACATGACAAACTGGACGGAAAAGAGGGTGAGCAGATAAACAATCTACAATCCATTTGCCGAGGTCAGGTACATCAGTAGCTGAATATATCTTCCCTCCAGGACTCAAGAGATAGGCATAAACATCTAATAAAGTTGGAGAGATTATACGCCACTTATGTTTAACACGTTTGAAATGCGGGTCAGGATACAGGAAGAATATCTTATGCAATTGAGCCTACAAATGAAAATAAAAATATGAACTTGGTAGCGTATCGAAAAGTTTGTAAAATATGACAAATTTATTAGTGAGAAATGACGTACCAACAGTAACATATTAGCTACAACATCAATAACAATGACTATATTTGCCAACAAGACTTTTACAAAGTGTATAGAAGGCACTTTTCAGCTAGAAAATATACACTCAGTACAAGATAAGTCAATTTAAAAATCAATGTTTCGAAAAGTAGCCTGTCAAAAATGATGTAACGTAAAAACGTTTAGCAAAATCCCATGATAATTCACTGGTTACAGATTTTTCAAGAACACGGTGACAGACGAGAACATAATTGGTACCAAGATAGGAGGAAAAACAGCAGATGCATGAAGTCAAAGGATACCAATACTTGAATTATGACGATCAATAAAATACAAACGTAACAGTCTCTGATACTAATGAATGAAAAATCTGACAACAATGAGTGTCTCAAGCAAACTTACTCTACAAAGCAAACAGTAATAATAACCTCTTGAATAACTGTTTGTATTGTTTTTATTTCAGGAAATATTTAGAGTCAAAACAAAGCATAGTTGCTCAAGAGTGCAACATGTCTCAGTTGTCTCAGTAGAATTTGAAATCCCCACTAAACCTTAAAAAAAAAGAATTCAGTGAAGGGTTCATCTTTTCACCGAATCATTCTTAAGTTGTACAATCGCATATATATATATATATATATATATATATATATATATATATATATATATATATATATAACATTTTTTTGGCAACATAAAATGAATATTTCCAAAACCATGTTAAGAATGTTCACTTCCGACTAAAGATCTGGAGAGAAGGAATTACATAATGTAAGAATAAAGACTTGTTGAAAGCTAAAACAAGAATAAATAATCAAGTTGCATGATATGATAAACTTAGATCAACTGAGTGCAGTTCAACAATCAACATAAGACTGGTAAGGTAGAAGGATTCGTCATAAGGAGAGAATACGTAGTGGTAAAACGAAAAATATTTCCCAGTAGTAAAATCCATATTGATTCTATCAGATTAGATATTGGCATGCCCACTCAGTATCTAAAGGAGTTGTTGTTAAGATGAAACTTCAATGTGTATTTCCTCTTCAATAACACAATGAACCGGCAAAAATATTGCATAGCTATGGCTTTACCCTTAGGTCCTTTGTTTCGCATACATTTTTATGTGGAAGCTTGAAAACACAAACTTGAGCAAACTGATCGGCCATTTTGAACTTTTAAAAGGATACACAGATAAAACCTTTATCATATGTGATTTACAGATACAGATAATTAAAAAAACATTCTACGATTTTCAACAACTGTCATCCAGGAATCCAGTTCACATAAGAAAAGGAATCAAATTCAGAAATACCATTTTAAGGCGTATAACTGGCAAGAAATAAATATGGGACACTGAAAAGATCTATCCACAGAAAACTTAGGTGGAACAGGCGGTTCACCAACTTCTACACTTCGGTCTCTGCAGACAAAAAATGGAGTCTGATCCGTTCCTTGTGTTATCGAATTTGTAAAATCTGCAACCCTGATGCCATTGATGAAGAGCTAAGAACTTCTAAAAATGCTGTGACTAAAAAAAACACCCTGAACATTTCATTCTGAAAACCATGAAGTAATGACCAGAGAAGCCAGACACACTTATTGTTCCAAAAAAGCTGCTCTTCCTGAATCTACAGTTCAGGGCAGACTCATCGGTAGAAATATTAAAAAAATCATTTGTCTGGTTCATTGAGAAAAACCTTGTCTACAGAAAACTTGGGATTAATTTTCTACATGCAACCAGTGATTCGATTATGGGTAAAGGATAAGCTACTGCTGTTGGTCTCCTCAATGTGCATCTATCAATTTACACGCTAATGTGCAATAAAGTATTTTAGTTATTCTTAGCGTCTGCTTTCTAAACGCATTGTCGAGCAAAAACCATCTTGGCGTTACAAGAGAGAAACAAGATTCTCTCACAATTGAATTTGAGAGTATATGATCGTTTCTGGATACCAGGTATATCTACAATCTAATCCAAGTGTAACCTACAGAGTATACGAAAACCTCATGAACGCTGTGAGAATAAAAATACTTCAAACTGAGAAGATGGTGACAGCCTGAAGTCTGCATACAAGAGAAGTTTGGCCCGTCATTAGATTTACAATAGGCATGCGTAAACATTCTACCGTTTGATAGTATTTTTTTCTTTTTACTACTACTACCCCACTGCGTATTCTCTCCTTATGACGAATCCTTCTACCTTACCAGTCTTATGTTGATTGTTGAACTGCACTCAGTTGATCTAAGTTTATCATATCATGCAACTTGATTATTTATTCTTGTTTTAGCTTTCAACAAGTCTCTATTCTTACATTATGTAATTCCTTCTCTCCAGATCTTTAGTCGGAAGTGAACATTCTTAACATGGTTTTGGAAATATTCATTTTATGTTGCCAAAAAAATGTTATATATATATATATATAATATATATATTGACCAATAGCTGCTACCTTGACGTTGTGCTCAGGCTTGCATATCACAATGACATAACAAGCTATGCTAGTGGAACACTTGTTCTTTCAAGGTCCTACCATACCAGAAAGGCCTGTTGGATAATGGTTAGACGAAAAGCAGTTACCGTTATAGTGTAAATTGCTACATTTTGATGGGGGTCTGAGGGCAAAGTCGTACTCCTGCTAGCTGGATGGGGTGTGACAGCAGTAAGGTGTTTCTCTTGGATGACCAGAAGTGTCATGCCGTTGCTGTCTTCTCAATGGAAGGGGGGAGGGGGTTACAAAAGGTCGGCCCCAAAAATAACACAGTCCAACATGCCCCACGTTCTGCCGGGTCGGCAGTGTTCGTTCATTTGTCGTTTCCTTTCGATCATCCGGCTCCAAAAATACAAAAGTTCAAAATAATCATACTCAAAAGGCCTCAAGTAGATGTCCAATCGGCTCGGCAGTCACACAAATCTCTTACAGGTACTCTTAGAAGAAATAGCCTTCCACAGTGTGGGCAGCCGAGAAGTACCGATCGCCCTCACAACTCAATCAGCACCTAAGTTCCCTCAGACTGCTATCCAACTCCCCCCACCCCCCAATCACTACCTACTAATCTCCCTACAAAAGAATTCTTGACGTGTAGAGCAAGTGTTCTGCTTTTTTAATATTATTATGCAACACAGGCCTACATAAGTTAGACGATGTCTTTTACAGTTTTGTCATTTAGATATTCCTTCAACGGCTGCGATATACGGAGCCCACTTTGAGTGAAGATACGGTTAAAGAAAACCACTGTGTGCTAGAGTTTCCGGTATTTCTGGTGAAACAAATCTTTATTCATATCTTGTTTGTACCTTAGTTTCTTTGCGCATAGTAAGTGTGTTGGTGCTTGTGAGGGAAATACAGCATGTGATGCTGTGCGTGCGTACCGCGAGCATGAGTACTTGTTCGCAGTCGTTAGAAAACATACTTGCGTCTAGGTCAAACTCACTTCCATGGATATCTACCTCAGTACACAGCACATACATCGTGTTGAAAGACGGCGTACGAGCCACTGACTCGCGATAACATTACTTGATAGGATTGGATAGCACTCGTAGATGGAAACATCGGTTCAAATGAAGTCAGTTCATGTACAGCTTCCGATTTAACGCAGTACATTCACTGCATAATGGCGCCAATTCGGTGTCGTAGCGTCGCCACTAAGTAAGGCGAGTAACTTTTCAAGACTGCACATTGTATTTTGCTTCATTACGGTTTACTCTTTCCCAAGGCAAATGTTAGACACCTTAAGCAAACACATTATGCTATTTGATGAGTTGAATTACAACTCGTAAGTGCAATAACGCACTACTTACGGGGACATGACTATCAAAATTCACACTGAGTAAACACTGTTTTGTGTGAACATTCTCAAGCCAAAACAGTATAAGCAAAAGCAGCAGCGGCTTTAATTCATGTCTCCCGAATTCTATTAGGCTACTTGAATCTTTCGGCTTTACCACTACTTAGTTAAAACACAACAGTAGAGACTATTAAACATGCACATAAATTGATCATGAAATAATTCGAACACATGGTTTCGATGAAGGTTCGTTGACTTCATCTATCCTTCACTTGACGTACATCAGCAATGGAGTCTTCCACGCTGAATACAAGCTTACGCATAATCTGAAGAAGAATTAAAGGAAGCACGCTTCAGTCTCTTCTTCCAATATTTGTTACCAGCAAGCATAAACCAACTAATTTTTTTTGAGCTCACATCTAGGCTGTGCACGACGGTTCTAGGTCCTCGATATATTCTGATGTATTAGGTCAAGCTAATCGCCTTCTGCAGATCCGGTTAGCACGACTGCCGACTGGCTGTTGACCAAATTTAAGGGGTTTACATGATTTATTCGAAGACTGTGGTTCAGATGAGCTCCTCAACTGTCGTGCAACCAGTCAGCTGTTCAGGTTGGTTGTCATAAGAAGATAGAAAAGATGTCCATGAAGCTAGGAGAGAGGAATTGCTAACTAAAGACATGGCGACAGGAATAGGAACTGAATGATATGAGTATGCTAGGTGGACTCAAGTGATAGGGAGGACCACAAAAAGTAGTCTGGAATCATAGACCCACAGTGGAGAGAAGGGGCAGGTGAATGATTTCATTCGCTGTATGGAACACCCCACAAAGTTTCAGTTTTTATATTCACAGATCATTTCATTTCTAACGGCACCTAATATAGATTTGGACTGAGCAGTAGTTCAAAGAGGACTCAAGTGCGGTTATTCACCTGACCTCTCCTGACCAATCTGGTGAATCCGCGAAATTCACCCTTCGGGTTTCTGGAGATTCGATAGCTAGCTCTCGTGGTCTTGCAGGTGTAGGCATAGCATGAAGCACTAGGGCAGAAAGCTCACTACTAGACTGGATCACAATTGATAGTCACCTCTGCGCTATGCGGCTGAACGGCACAGTGAGAACTAAAAGGAATAGGGAGACTCGCCGTTGTCTCTTTATAATCTCTGCTTACGCACCCACTGACTGCAGCTCGGATGATGTGAAGGACGAGTTCTACCGTAAACTGTCTAGCCTACTCTCGAAAGCCAAACGTTTAGACGTGGTGGTTGTTGCAGGTGACTACAATGCACAGGTGGGTAGACTGAGTGAGGCAGAAAGCCACTCAGGTGGCACTTTCGGAGTCCCGGCTGATCGAACAGATAACGCTGACCGCCTACTACAACTGTGCTCAGATAATCGCCTATTTTTAACTGGCACATATATCAGACATAAAGAAAGACACTGTCTGACGTGGCATCCACCGAGCTCAGACCAACGATGGACATAGGTAGACCATATTGCTATTAGTCGTCGCTGGAGAGGATCGGCAGAAGACTGGCGCTTGACACTGAGAGGACCCTTTTGCATACGGTCCTAACGTTCAGTGATGCGTGGTGATTTGAAACTTAAGGATCATGGTTCAGTTGCAGCGTTGCGACAGTCCGGTCTGTTCTACTGTATGGCTGTGAAACATGGCCATTCAAGGTGGAAGACATGAGAAGGCTGGCTGCAGGTGTTTGACCACCGTTGCCTTCGGGTCTGTTGGACGGGAGGAACCAGTGGTTGGAGACTAGGTGATATGGCTCAGAACCGATGTCACTGGCGCAGATGTATACACATACCATCTTCATCTTAACATTATGCCGGATCTTACCATTTTCTCATTCTTCCTTTCTTTCTTCTCGTACTTTATATTGCTTTTGACTACATTCTCTTATCTTCATTTGCGCCTCACTGCCTTTTTACTTGATGTACTGATATGAGGTGTGGCAACTCGGACCGTTATGCAGTGATGCCTGGTCCTATGTTGATATGGATGGATGATATATATATATATATATATATATATATATATATATTCGGTGGAAAGATTAAGCCTTTGCTGAATGCCATTTGTTGCAGCAGGTGACAGTTTAAAGATACGACAACAGATTCGCCCATATCATGCAGGAAAACTATCTATATTATTAAATCACACCAGACAACAGATACTGTAGTATTAATTATAACAGTGTAGGTGTAGGCGGCTGACTACTCGCCATAAAGTCCACTCCACTCGCTTTGAACTTATCAATTGAGCAGTATTATGAGCCTACGAAAAATATATGTGGTCTACGGTTCAGTACATAAATCCGCACCGGTTTGTCGAGTTATGTTAATCAATTAAGATTACTGACAATGCAGGTCAAACTTTGAAAAGCAATTGGCATGAATGGTTGCGATTCAACGACGGAGTCAAACACATTTACTTGCGAAAAGCTCAAGTTCTTTTGATTACATAGGGTTGAATACCAAGTCACACCACTCTACGCCTAGTGGCAAAAAATGGATATTTAAATACTGATAAACCTCGCCTGGTTAACTAGTACACTAGTTACTAGCCGGTCAAACTCCCGAAGAAGGGAGACCTCAGTGTTTGCAAGAACTGGCGAGGAATCACTCTCCTGTCCACCCAATGCAAGCAAAATATTAAGCCGCATCATCCTGGAGAGGCTAAAGGATGCACTGGATTCAAAACTACGACCGGAACAGGATGGCTGGCTGGCTGGATTCAGGAACTACAAATCATGTGCAGACCAAATTGCAACGCTACACTACGCATCATCATAGAACAGAGTATAGAATGGCAGTCAACTAACTACCTCACCTCAACTTCATCGACTTTGAGAAGGCCTTTCTTTGGCAGCGTCGACCGACAAGTAATTTGGAAACTGCTTCAACACTACGGAGTACCGCAAACCTTTATCAGCCTCATTCAACAACTATATGAAGACGCCACATGCCAGCCAAGTAATTCACAATGGAAAGCTCAGTGATGCTTTTGAAGTCAAGACAGGAGTGAAACAAGGTTGCCTACTATCCCCCATGATATTCCTGATTGTGGTCGACTAGACTGGATCATGCAGCAAACAGTGGGGAGCGAGAAGAGGGGGATACACTGGACGACGGAAAAGAACCTAGAAGATCTGGATTTCGCCGATGACTTGTGCCTGATGTCACACAAACTTGAAGATCTACAGGCGAAAACTAACAAGTTGACAGAAGAGGCAGCGAAGACGGGACTTCAAGTGAATATAGAGAAGACAGAGGTGATGAAGATACCACACCAACAACAACAACAAACTCCAATCACTATTAACGGAAGAAACTTAAATGAAGTAGCCTCCTTCACCTATCTAGGAAGCACTGTTTCAACTACAGGTGGCACAGACGAGGATGTCAAAGTCAGAATCGGAAAAGAAAGACAGGCGTTCATTAGCCTGAAACCAGTGTGGAGATCTTCTGCACTTCACTCAGCATGTGGAACAAGATACGGATTTCCAACACCAACGTCAAGTCAGTGCTTCTGTATGGTTCAGAGACTTGGCGCGTTACGAAAGGCATTTCCAACAAACTACAGACATTCATCAACAACTGCTTACGCTCGCTACTGAAGATCAGATGGCCAGAAAGAATAAGCAACAAGAAGCTCTGGGAACGAACCAACCAAGAACCTATCACCCAACAAATATGCATTGGAAGGAAGTGGAGATGGATTGGGCATACACTGAGAAGGCCGGCTGGGGACATCACGCGTCAGGCCCTCGAGTGGAATCCCCATGGGAAGCGACGAGTTGGACGTCCCAGGGTGACATGGAGGAGATGGTGCGAGGAGGAAATGAGAGGTTGTGGGCTGTCGTGGAACCAGGTTCAAAAGATCTCAGAGAACAGAGGTCACTGGAGGCGTGCTACTGAAGCCCTATGTTCCATTAGGAACCCAAGGGACTAATAAATAATAATAATAAATACTGATAAGTATTAAGGTATTCCACGGTTGAAATAGCCTCTAAAGAAATAGATAGAGCTATAACTCTACGCTTAGACGAAGCATATGGTGATTGAAAGATGTAATCGCAAAACCGTCACAGTTACCGATGCAAAACGTCGATTTTCTGGAGAGGTAACAAAAATGAACCCTTATTTGAACCAGGTTCTTGATGGCATACAGTAATCTAAGTAACAATCAAACATCACGTTTCGAATTCATTGGTTGCTCTACAAATACGAGTATGATTGAAAAACCTTTAGTCTTGGAGTAAGTTGAAGAGGAAAAAGAATTCTCGGAAGCAGAAATAAACTGATAATTGAAAAAAATATAAACTTGGGAGAAAATATATCCATGATTATTAAATTTTGAGATAAAGTGAAAACAACTATAAACTGTAACAATTCAAGCGTGAATCAACTACTTCTAGTCCAGCACGGCTCAAGAGATTCAACTAGAACAAAGGATAGGAAAATCTCTGGTTCAGAATTATCCCCGATCTCTGAATTGCCACAACTAAACAATCACGATAATGATGGAGTTGAAACCAAGCAAAAGTGTTTAGAATTTTTATGAAAAGGACTAATATAATTCATATCAGTTTGAAGGGAAGCGAATGAAGAGTATCTGTTGTCAGTCAAAATGCTGTCATAAAATTATGGCATGATGCAGTAGCAAAAGACATAATTTTGAGAGCAAAATTAATCTAACAACTTCATAACTCAATTAATTATATGCACACAAAAGAAACCTACTTTGTGAAAGAAATTGGGTAGAAACTTCATGGCATTTGTACGGATACAAGTTATATTATTGTACTGACCAGGGCATTTCAAACGTAAAGCATTAAGTTTCTCCTATTTTAGAAAAAAAAGTCTAATTAGAAGAAAAATTAAACAAAATGAAGTGTACCAGAGAATATTGATGGCTATTTCTATACAGTAAAACGTGCAATAAATAATTTGATGAGCTAGACTATGGGTAAGGAATACGATAATGTCCAACTTTTCATATCGAAGTAAGTGAATTCACTTTATAGCAGTGACAAGTGCCTAGGTAGCTTGGCAACATAAATGCATACAAAACAAGATATTGAGGTGAAATTTTCGTGGTCACAATTACTTCTATGTTACTCAACACTTTTTTAGAAATATCAGAATCACGATCTACTGGAAAGGATCGAAGTTTGAAAGCATTTTACTAGTGATATGAGTCGTGGATACAGTTGGTTGACTGATAAAATCTTCGTAGAACTTCGCACACCGGCTCAAGTTGCCACACTTCACAGTAGTAGGCAAAGAATAGGTGGATAAAAAATGAGTGATATCAAAGATGAAATCGAGTGAGATAATTAACAATCTGAGGATGGAGATTAATGTGAATATTCAAACTTTAGAATATGTCAAACAGTGAATATATCTGAACAATTGTGACCGACTTTCAGGCATGTCACCAAGAGCCCTCAACCATTGATTTGTAGTTTATGTCCAAACCACTCAGCCGATGAAGGTTCACAATCTCATCAACCGACATGCCTTTCCAGCCTAGTAGACTTCTGCTGACCTGAACATTATTCAAACGGTGATTCCATCAAACGCGAGTAATGACTATCATTAAACTGGGAGCACTTGCAGCAGACCCATCCTAAAGCATCATCTTACATTTCACAGGTGCCAGCGAAACACATGCCAAAAATACTCAGAGTTCCACCCAACCCTTTCAGAAGACCCTGCACTGCGTCATCTGTTTACCAGGACAATGTTGTGTGCATACTACAAGTAACCACATGACTTCCAGAGAGTAAACCAATCCCTGTGAAATCAGACGTACCTAACGTGATGTCCATTAGTACGCCTATGATGAAGTTGAATAGGAACGGTGACAGTGGAGATCCCTTATGGACACCACTAGTTGCTGTCCATTCATATGATAACCCTCTAAGAGCCCTAACATGGCTGCATGAGTTCAAGTGGGAAGCGATGATTAGCCTTATATACTTGCTTGATACTCCTTAACCAGTCAGATACTGCCACAACACTTAATGGTTGACAGAGTCAAATGCCATCTTCATTTCAAAAAAGGTGACAACTGTCGGCAGCCGGTAGGTATGCCTGTGTTCCAGAACCTGTCGAAGGGTGGAAATATGATCGACGCACCCTAGTCTAGGTCTGAAACCTAACCAGTTCAGTTTTCCAGCTCTTGTTATGCGTCAGGTAACGATAGTCATCAAGAATCTTGAACAATATTATTCAAACTAACTCTCCTATGATTGTCACAAGAACATTTTCCTTCCTTCTTTTATAGACTGGGATAATCAGTGAAATACACCAGCCTGATAGCACTAACTCTGATTCTCATACACTTTGTAGCTCCTCTATCACTTTAAGTAGCGATTTCATATTTCCATCCTTGAAAACTTCAGCTGACGAACTTTTAGTCCAGAGTCCCATCCTTTTCAGTGATGATTTCACTCACAATCGTCTTCTTCTTGCAGGTTTCCCTAACAAGCCTAAATGGTAGCCAGGTGTTACCTACCGCTGATGTCTCCTCCATCTTTCCCCCTTTCGCCGCTCACCATTTCGCTATGGATGCGAAGACTCTTGGTCAACTTACCTTTAGCTTGCTGTCCCTTTTCATCGTGGTCAGAGCCAGTTGTAATCAGTCTCCTTGCACCAATTAGTTGGGATGACTTCGCGGAAATCCAATGACATTTGCTAACTATGTGTAGGTTACCAGCTGTTTTTACCGCTGTTTCTTCAGCAGACTTAATGCCACACTACGCCGGGTCTATTCAACACGAGCATTGCTGTCATGTTCAGATAAATGCTAAGCAGTTTCTCCGCTAAATTCTCATCTTTCAACCAACAATTCACAGACACCTGTTTCCTGCGACAAGTAAGGTGCAGACTCACACGAGCCCGTACAAGCTCATGACCGAAGTCTAGAGAGGTAATCCAGAAAGAGCGACAATTTTCATAGATACTCTCCAACCATGGCTTATAGCAATGTGATTTACCTCTATCCATCGTTGGTTAGAAGTCGGGGGATGGCACATGAGACAGTATCTCCCATTATGCTTAGAGCAGGTGCCAGCCAGGAACAAGTGGTTGTCGGAGCGACATCGCAACAGACGATCACCGTTGTCGTTTCGTTGATATGGGATTCCGTAAATACCTTTCAGATTGCCTCAGAACTCCTACTTCAGTGTTAAGATCACCTGCCATTATGATTGCATCTAAATGCTTTGGGTTCTGTAGCAAGGTTGACAGCTTCTCATACAATTCATCCTTTCCATCATCCCAACTGAAATCAGTGGGCGATGGAAAAGTAGCTGAAAGTCAGTGGAGCTTTCCTGTGGAATTTTCTACCTACCGTTCCGTTCATCTCCCCAGAAAAACAATTACAGACCTATCCTTCTCCCTTATAGTCTCACTAACCACTGGCCACTTTACATAAGTTCCCTTGACCAGTCTAAGTAAGCGTTCTCTGTTACTTAAGAATATGGTCTTCTCCATCTCTTTAACCTTCTTTACCCACCACTGCTCACGGTCACTGAAGAAAATTAGTGTCAACCAACAAGTGAATTGTTTTTCCCTCCTTATTGTGCTAGGAGCTTGCACAGATGCACACACCAATTTCGAAGAAACTACTGCGATCCATTGGCCCTTTCTAATAATTTCTTCACAGCCAGTTATAGTCTTTAACGCTGCTTTGAAAGAAAATTGGAGATGGCATCAGGCTTCTTAAGAATGAGTGGGATTGAGCACTTCCAATAATTGTCTGGTCAGTTCCTCATTGAAAGCAGTCAAAGTATTTTCATCATTGCTCTAAGCTGGAATTATTTTGCTAGTTCTCCTATGTTCATTAAGTTCGAAAGCAACGGGTGATAGCTGTTCAAACATGTGCTCTTAAAAAAACGGCAATCCTCCACCGATCCTCTCTAGCGATGACTGATATCAACTGCTGATACCTATCACCACAAGCACCCCGGACACGCAGCCTACACCAACCTATGTGGCTTAGATCAACGATCAGGGATTTCATAGACTGGTGCCACATCTCAGTTTGCCCACCCTGAGCCTTCTTCAAAAAGCCAATCCAAGTCCAATCAGCATTGCACGTTGATATAAACGGTGGGTCGTCATGTGTAATACACGTTCAAGTCACATCAATTTACTAAGGTCCACAACCCCATCGACCGACTTCTCTGTCTTGCCCAGTACTCAGCCTAACTGTGACATTGTTAACATGGTGATCCCACCATACACAAGGAATGATACGAAAACACCTGAGGACAAGGATCTGTAACTGATTTATATCTCATGTCTCATAGCCGCATAACAGAGCAGAATGGATTGCAGCACAGCATACTCGTTCTTTGAGAAATAGTCAGATACCTCGTCAGTCAGCGATGACACAAATTGGCAAATCCCAAACGAATCCTCTATATCCGAGCTGAAATTTCTTTAGCAACTAACCTGTTCGGGTTGATGCATTTCCCCAAGCAAGTGAGGTGATCGACATATTCCACCACTTCGCTCCCTCCATATCATTAAACTGGGAGCACTTGCAGCAGACCAGTCCTAAAGCATAATCTTACATTTCACAGGTGTCAGTGAAACACATGCCAAACATACTCAGATTTCCGCCCAACGCTTTCAGAAGTCCCTACATTTTGTCAGCGTCGTCATCCGTCAGGACAATATGGTCTGCATACTCGAAGTCAACTAGATGACCTACGGGGAGTACATCAATCCCTGTGAAGTACACGCAAACTGAGGTTGTGTCTACCAGTATAGCTATAACGAAATTGAAAATGAACAGTGACAGTCGGCATCCCTGATGAATATCACTAGCTATCCTCAATTAACATGACAATTCTCTGTAACCTCTAGCATAGGTGCGTGAGTTACAGTAAAGAGCGTTGATTATATACTCGCTCGATACTCCTTTGACAGTCAGGCACTGTGACAACAACTCACGATTCGCTGTATCAAATGTCATCTTCAGGTCGAGAAATACGGTAAATGTAGGTCTCCCAATGAACAGTTTTGTGTTCCAGAACTTGTCAGAGGGTGGAAATCTGATCGATATATTTTCCTTAAGTTCCGAAACCTGCTTGGTTTACTCAAGTTCCCTGTTTCCGAGCTTCAGGTGGGCACTGGGTAGCTTTAGAGCCTAGGATCTTGGACACAATATTACTCAAACTAATTCCCTAATGGTTGTCATATGAAGATTTCTCTCCCTTCTTATAGACTTGGATGACCAGAGAAGAATACCACTATAACAGAAATACACCTGATTCTCAAACACTACATAGTATCCCCGTTACTTTAATCAGCAAATTCCTACTTCCATCTTTAAAAGCATTGGGTGGCAAACCTTCAGGTCCTGCTGAACTGCATCGTTTTAGGTCTGAAACAACCTTCTCATCTTCCAGGACATTTGGGAGACCGACACATGTCGCATTACGGTTCCGATTGGATGGTGGGCAACTGATGAGTGGCTGTGGGGTAGTTGAACTGCGTCTACTAACTAACATCTCCTTCTTGCCGGTACACTCAATAAGTCTAGATAGTTGCCAGGTATTACCTAGCGCTGATGCCTTCTCCATCTCCCTTGCTCTTACCACTCGCCACTGTTCACGATTAATGCGAAGACTCTTGGTCAGTTTACGTTTAAGTTGCTTTGGCTCTTCGTTATAGTCAGAGCCAGCCGAAATCACTTCTCGCATCAGTCAGTTCGGATGACGTTGTGGAAATACAATGACATTCGCTAGCCTTCATGTGTAGGCTTTACTGCTGTTTCTACAGAGGACTGAATATCACGCTAGGTTTCCACAGGATAAGAACTAGTCACCGAATCTCCAGAAGTTCAAAAGATGAAGTTCGCAGATTCATTACATTAGTCGGCGAGATTAAGTGAACAAACGCACTCTGATCCTATAAGTGTACCACACAAACAGAGCATACACCTATGGAGCGAAATGCTAATTTTGGCTGGCAAACTTTGTCCGATTTGTCTGAGGATGCGAACATTAGAAGTTCCAATATATAGTTTGAAGCGCAGGTTCGGGAGACCAGGGAAGCTGTCCCGAGGACTCGAATTATTATCAAGAGCTGCAGAGTCGGAAGAAATTAATTATGACTACGGAATAATAACCTGGAGCTCATTTGAAGGAACTTGAGTGCCGGCGGAGTTGTGAAGGTGGTTAGCACTTTTTGGCTGCTGACACCGTGGAAGTCTACTTCTCAAGTTACCTGAAAAAAGTTGGGTTAGTAAGAGTAGTGCGTGACCGTAGACCCCATGGAATATTTGCTTCAGGCCAACTACACACATCCTTCTTGTAAGTCTGAGGTTTAAGTTTGTTTGCTTCCAATGCAGCTATAAACACATACCGCAAGCACTGAGAGAGTGGAGGGTAAGGTGGGATGTCATATTTTCAGGCTGACCTTTTCTAACCGCCTTCGTACGTGGAACGCAAAATCAGCGTAGTACAACTGATCAACTGCAAAAAATGTTTTACTACTATCAGCTAGCAGTACTTTACCTTCATACCCCATATTGTAGCGCAGCTATTCACACTTCAAAACTTACTGGTTTTCGCTAGGACCTCAACGTAACAAGCGGTCTACTAGCATATCTCGTCGAGTTATTGTGATGTATGAGGCCAAACACCATGTCAAGGTAGCAGCTACCACACCACAACCATTAAATGATGAAAAGCATTTTAAACAAAGACTAGCTATAGTGAAACACTATGGTTTATATTAATTTTGATGAGGGCTTCCTGCTCTAGTTCAATCACTTATTTGTAAACCATGTGAATTCTTGACGTAAGTCATGAAGTGCTTAAATGGAGAAGATTACAAATAGTGTAGTGACTGTTGCTAATCAGAATGGATATAAGTAGTATGTTTTGAGAAAGCAGCAGAAATCATAGGGAATTACCGGCAATGGGTAAAGATTCTGCCCACAGAAACGCAAGAGACAATGTGGGCGTATTAAGAGTAAATCGTGATAGAAGCAGAAGAGGAAATGAAGCACATCATGTAAATGACTGTCTTAGTGGGAGGTGTACAATATTTGATGACTACTGTCCAAGATGTCAATAATAAACATTCTTTCCTTCGTCTCCGCCTTGTCATTTTCTACAACATCGCCACTGTGATAGAATAAAAACAGTCGTCGCAGATCTGTTACAAAATGATAAGTGACTAAAATAAACTGAACTCTAAGTAAAATGACACCAATTTCTGTGCAAATCTGGATTACCGCTGTTGCTGATAAATTTTCACACAGTGGCACTTTAAAAAAAATTTATGCATAGTATAACACGATGAAAAACAAAAATGATTAAGGTGACTAAACCCGGGAATGAACAGCATTTTTAACAGAAGAAACCACAGGCTAGGTCAGAAAAACGACCATATATTTTAGGAAGCTTTGTCAAACTCGATATTTCATTATCATTAAGATTACTTGAAGAATGGCTTCCGTAATTTATGCTGCAATTATTAAGTTGTTTAATATAAACTGCTTTATTACCTCCAAAACATCGCAAAAGCTAGAGAAATCAATTACCGTCGATACACTAATCACGTGTTCCTGTCATGAACTCTAAAATAGGCTACGCAACTATTACAAAATATCATGAAACTGACTTTCGTAGGTAGAGTAAGCTTTTCCAACAACATGATCTTTGAAATGACCATTCTGTGGGTAAACACTTCTCATGAACCTAATGTAGATCAGAAAAATATCCTCACTCAGCCAAACAGGGTGACAGAATTGAACCACGTCTACATGTTCAAAGAAGAATGATGTTCGAAAAACAATAATGTCTATTAATTATACGAAAATGAATACAGACTAGCTTAAATACAGACATGTGAATACAGGACATAGAGTAGACGAACAATTTGGTCAATTCAGTTACTTAAATAGTCTTGCAAGCTTTAGCTGTGGTAAAAAAGAATAGACAGCCACTCACAATTCCAAGTCATTTGCGGATAAAGTGAAATATTGGCTTACAGCTCTTAGCACTTCACTCCATTCCACTACACATCAATTAAGCATGGTCTTCAGATTGCATGCAACAATTACTACGACTGATTGAAATATTATTCAGAGAATTGTTAACAGTTACTGAAATCATCGAGTGAACAATAAGGAGACTGGCATCACTATTTTAAGCAAAAAATACAAACCATTTGTCAGCATTTCGAAGCATCGTGAATACTGCTGAATGATATGAATATTTGAAAGCCTTCTGCATTAGTCAGTAACGTTATACACGTTCTAAACAAAACGGTCTTGAACAACTGAGATAGTAAACTCTTTAACTGCAATAATACTACTGAACTAAAAGAGACACAAAAAGAGTAAGAAAAACAGAATAACACAAAAACTAGTCCCCAACATTTGCTATTGAAGTAAATTCTCGATGTCACAATGGTATTTTTCGGGAAACAACACGTAGGAAGAACCTATACACATCCATGAACCTAATACATTCCTTCGTCAAACTTTACTCTGTATTCAAAGTACATGCAAATACACGGAGATTACGACGACCATGCAGAAAAATAAAATCGTAGGCGAATTTCGAGTTCGGTAGGTGAACGTTTACCACTGATAAAAAATTTACTGCACACAGTTAATTTATTCCACAATCGTTAGAAAGTGCAATTGGACCACTTTCACCACATTAGTATGCTTTTTGCCCATCCTGAAAGTTTAACAATAATCATCACTCTACTTGATTTGACGAAATAAGCGAAAGCAAATACTCTTCCTGAGTTTCAAAATTTAACTATCAGGTCAAACAATGAACCAAAATTTTCTGAACAGTCGGTGTAAACCTCAGTTAACTAATAGTTTAAAACACAATTATCTCTTTGGATAACTAGTTTGAATATAACATATTAAATGGTTTGAAAGGAAATAAACTTTCACAGCAACTACCTACACGTTCATATCACTATGCCTATACCTATTGTGTGTGGGTACTGCGTTCGAGTCTCAATGGGAACAGCATCGCTCACTGGGGTGCAGCTGAATACAGCTGACAAGTCCCGAATACGGCGGAAGGAGCGACCTGGATTCCACTGCTAGCTACCAAACAGACTACTCTTCAGACGCTGGTAAGTAAGGAAGGGTTCGAAAAAGCGACCCGTTCGTTGGAAGTCAACTGTCTAAACTAATGAGCTATAACTCTTATAGAAGAATAGATATAATATGAAAGCCAAACTTTTATGCAACCCATAAACTGAAAGCAGTAAAGTAGCTTGACTTACCCGTACAAAGTCACAGACTTTCAAGCGTATTTCCAATCCAACACTCCTAGTAAATGGATACGAGGTGGACAAATTAAAGAGAAGCCCACCGTAACCACAACCTACATCCAAAAAACGTACAACTGGGTCTACTACGCCCTCACTTCCAGAAGACGTAACATCTCGACCGCCTCCAAATAATTTTTCCCAATCCATCAGGTCTGGCTTCAAAGGATAATCAAGTGTATGGTCTGACCAAGGGTTACAGTGGGCTCTTTGACGATAATGACGTTTAGAAGGCAATTGGATTTTTTCATTACCGACATCCTTATCACAGGAATTGTCTGTACATTCAGACATCTACAAAGGTATGAAAAACTGAGAAACAATTTGCAAATGACAACCACAAAGAAGAATACACATATCTGACTAACATATCTTCTGCGAAACAAACAATGTACAGGATCTGAACAAAGTTCAGTAACAAGCTAAAAAGACATAATAATGGTAAAAATAATGAACTATCAGTGAGTAAACAGAAGAATAAAGAAAATGAAAGCCCAACAGTTTGAAGAATCAAGATAACCGGAAGACTTTTTAAGTAAGGTATTGAAAGTACTAAGTAGGTTTATTTCACGATCCATGCGAACACAACAAAACATACTATAAGAGTCATAAAAACCTTAATAAGAAATGCCCTTTGAGCAGAAATACGTCGCATAAACGCCAGTAACTGCACATGGGCCTCGCTTATATTCATTTCCATATCATCAGTTTGACTGTCTATCCGTAAAACTAAATCACTTTGCTCCTGTACTAAACTAGAAAATTGCTGATAAATCTCTCCAAGTTGAACGATAGTTGATTCCACTCGTCGAATTGCAGCATCACGTTGGCGGACTTCCTGATCAATAAGTGAAATGTGGGAGTTATTTACTAATAACTGGACTTGTTCCACTGGATGGTCATTCATTTCAACCTTATATGGAAAATATAAAAATTACAGTGTGCATAATCAGAACATCTTTTAAAACGTGAAAAAACTGGCCTAATAGGTTAACATGAAAACAGGATGTTAAATAAAAACTGTATACAAAAAATAGATGCAAATGGCAAAAACTAACCAGTGCTATTCTTAGTGCATATCAACAATAGATGCATCGTGAAAGAGCTTATGTACATATTTCTTATTTGAACGCTTATTCTTCTAAGATAATACTTAACAAGAAGATACAATAACGTGGTACACATACAAGAGTTTTACCAATGACTTTGTCCCAAATTAAAAAAAATCGTAGATCGAAAGATACTCTAAACACTATAGAGTAAAAAACGTATTGATGAGAAGAAAAACTTAATTAGTGTAGTTGTACTACGACCCGAAGGAACACTACTGCGACAACCCCTGAATTATCTGCGAGAGACAGTATTTCCTAATTAAGTCTCTGGTAGTAAACATTTATTCTGTGATCCCACCATTCACAAATGAAAATAAGGTAAGAAGTACGGTCATTGAGCAAAATATTTTTAACCATCGCTCTAGTGGGGATCATGAAATATGTCGATATTCATAGAATACCTTGTAATGACTGTGAGTAGTAGCAACTGGTGATGTACAGACTCTGGAGATTGAAACTGCATTTCTGAACCTGGTTCAAAAGTACTGAAATATCAGATTAAATGTATGCGAATACTTAAGAATTCGGATCAGTAATATGAAAAGAAAGTGTATTCATCATATGGTATTACAAAATAACTAAATACTAAACTAATTTTTAAAGAACCACATTTATGTTCATGCAGTAGGCAATGGACGACGCTTATCATGTGAGGATTAATGATACTAAGTGGCTGCTAAAATTTCAGTAGGTAGGGAGGTCCTCGAACCCGTGACCAACTGGCTGAAAGTCAAGTATCTAAACTAATGAAAGAACCTAAAAAACGAAAACCAAACTTCTTTTTAAATAAGCTGCTTACGTGAGACGGATCATAAAGGACAGACCTATTGTCCACCGAAGTAGTATTTAATTCTGTAATAGGTGTGACAGATGACAAATTAGATGTTGGACGGGAGTTAGACACAGATGATGAAGGAGCATAAGTCAACGAATTGTTAGGGTACTGATTGGCTTGATGCGACTGTTTATTTTCTGTAGGATGACATGATATATTGCACAAACTTTGAAAAGCATTGGCTACATTGCTTTTCCCCGGCGATATCAGTCCTGAGAATGAAGCAGATTTTGTGAATTGTGAATTCAAATCAGTATTCACAAGAATATTTGAATTAGACATCTTAGACGATGCAGAAAGGAAACTTTTATGTTCTTCCAAGAGAATACGAAATTCGGAAACAAGGAATGACAAATGATACTCTAAACCAATAACGATGAGGTCTATGTGTTTTAGATGTTGCATACTGGTGGTCAAACGTTCTTTAACTACAGATAAATTAGCTTTTAGTTCAAATTTAGCCTTATTTAAATCCATTATATCATACTGAATAACTTCAATTAATTTGCCAAGGACTTCTGGAGATGAATTCGATGCATTTTGCAACAGAAGTTTCAATTTGGTTATTTTAGAAACAGTCATTTTAAGCTCTTTGGACATTTGCTTGGATTTAATCAAGAGATCAGCAACAACACTATTTTCAGTTGGATTTGAGTATTTAGGGTGAGGGGGATTGAGGCGAAGTCGACCAGAAAGGAAACGATCATGAAATGACTGTGTACACGCACGAAATTCTCCAGTTCGATCAAACGCCCCAGACATGATGCTAAAACAAAAAGAATTAGGACATTTAGAAATATGACGGTCATAAGAACTTCAGTCACTGCATAGTGACAACTGAAGTATTTACAATAGTGACTTGTATAAGAAAAGACTAACCTCGCCTGGTTAACTAGTTTACTAGTTACTAGCCGGTTCTAAGCCCGGGTAAAGAGGGAAGGTTGGGCATAGGGCTAGCAACCCTACCCCCTAAAACAAATCTAACCGCTAAAGAAACTTCAAAGCACAAACAAAATATAAAAAATGAAAACAAACTTATTCCCCGCTGGAATCGGAGAGGCGAAATGACGCCAGTTGGTGAAAGCCTTCGGGAAGCCAATTGGCCGATGTGTCTTCTCTCGATGAAAGCGAAAGTAAACGTGGGGACATGGAATGTCCGCACGATGTTTGAACCCAGTAAGGCAGCCCAGATTGCAAAGGAGATGAGAAGGTATAACATCGAAGTGCTTGGGATTTGCGAAAGCAGATGGAATGGGAGTGGACTCTCCAAACTGTCAACTGGAGAATCAATAATCTACTCCGGTCACCCAGACGCCAACCACGAGCACACTGAGGGAGTGGCTATCATGATGTCCTCAAGAGCATCGAAGGCTCTCATGCAGTGGGAACCAATCTCCTCCAGGATCATGACAGCAAGATTCAACTCAAAAGGAAGAAAGGTCACAATCATACAATGTTATGCACCTACAAATAATGCAGAGCAAGAGAAAAAGGAGGATTTCTACAGACAACTTCAATCAACACTGGACAAGACGTCAGTTGGCGATATCAAAATTCTGATGGGCGACATGAATGCCAAACTGGGAGGGGACAACACGGGAAGAGAACTAACCATGGGTCGAGAGGCACTAGGTGAAATGAATGAGAATGGAGAATTGTTTGCAGAATTCTGCGCATTCAACGATTTGGTGATTGGAGGCAGTGTGTTCAGGCACAAAGATATCCACAAAGCGACATGGATTTCACCAGATGGACACACTAAAAATCAAATCGACTTTATCTCAATCTCAAGAAAATGGAGACGCAGTCTACTTAACACAAGGTCAAGAAGAGGAGCAGATGTAGGTTCAGACCACTACCTAGTGCAAGGAACCTTCCAAATCAAGTTAAAAGCCTTCAAGGAAGCTGGTGATAGACCTCAACCCAAGTACAACACTCGGAAACTGAAGGATGAAACTACAAAGGAGATCTTCAAGGCAGCCATCAAGACAAAATGGGAGACATCGAGCAACATCCCTGAAGAAACCTGTGTGGAAGAACACTGGAAGTCTTTGAAAGCTATGTGGAAAGAAACCTGCACAACAGTATTAGGAAGGAAGAAGAAAGAAGACAAGGAATGGATCTCGACGGATACCTGGAAGCTGATAGAGGAGAGGAGGATGGTGAAGCAGAAGATAAACCAGTGCAAGGATGCTCAACGACAAGAGGAACTGAGCACAATGTATAAAACACTGGACAAAGAAGTGAAGAAGAGTGCACGCAAAGACAAAAGACACTTCTACGAAACACTGGCAAGTGAAGCAGAACAGGCTGCAGGTAAGAGAGACCTGACGACATTGTATCAAATAACCAGGTTGCTATCAGGGAAGAGACCAACACAGATGAAACCAATAAAAGATGAAGAAGGAAATTTAATTACAAAAGAAGAGAAACAGAGGAAACGATGGGCCGACCACTTCAAGAAGCTCTTGAATCGACCACCACCTGCACTTCGTCCAGAAATACCACCTGCAGCCGCTGAACTACAAGTGAACATTAATCCCCCAACGAAAATGGAAGTCCTGAACGCCATAAAGCTACTGAAATGCGGGAAAGCAGCAGGACCAGATGGAATACCGCCAGAAGCACTGAAAACAGATGCAGAGACAACAGCGGCCATGCTCACACCACTATTGCAGAAGGTGTGGAAGGAAGAGAAGGTACCTGACGATTGGAAGAAGGGTTACCTTGTCAAACTGCCGAAGAAGGGAGACCTCAGTGCTTGCAAGAACTGGCGCGGAATCACTCTCCTGTCCACCCCAAGTAAAATATTAAGCCGCATCATCCTGGAGAGGCTAAAGGATGCACTGGATTCAAAACTACGACCGGAACAGGCAGGCTTCAGGAAGTACAAATCATGTGCAGACCAAATTGCAACGCTTCGTATCATCATAGAACAGAGCATAGAATGGCAATCACCTCTCCACCTCAACTTCATCGACTTTGAGAAGGCCTTTGACAGCGTCGACCGAGAAGTAATTTGGAAACTGCTTCAATACTACGGAGTACCGCAAACCTTTATCCGCCTCATTCAACAACTATATGAAGATGCCACATGCCAAGTAATCCACAATGGGAAGCTCAGTGATGCCTTTGAAGTGAAGACAGGAGTGAAACAAGGTTGCCTACTATCCCCCATGATATTCTTGATTGTGGTGGACTGGATCATGCAGCAAACAGTAGGCAGCGAGAAGAGGGGGATACACTGGACGACGGAAAAGAACCTAGAAGACTTGGATTTCGCCGATGACTTATGCCTAATGTCACATAAACTTGAAGATCTGCAGGCAAAAACTAACAAGTTGATAGAAGAGGCAGCGAAGACGGGACTTCAGGTGAATATAGAGAAGACAGAAGTGATGAAGATACCGCACCACCACCATCAACAACAACAACAACAAACTCCAATCACCGTCAACGGGAGAAACTTAAAGGAAGTAACCTCCTTCACTTATCTAGGAAGCACTGTTTCAACTACAGGCGGGACGGACGAGGACGTCAAAGTCAGAATCGGAAAAGCAAGACAGGCGTTCATTAGCCTGAAACCAGTGTGGAGATCTTCTGCACTCAGCATGCGGAACAAGATACGGATTTTCAACACCAACGTCAAGTCAGTGCTCTTGTATGGCTCAGAGACTTGGCGCGTCACGAAAGGTATTTCCAATAAACTACAGACATTCATCAACAACTGCTTACGCTCGCTGCTGAAGATCAGATGGCCAGAAAAAATAAGCAACAAGGAACTCTGGGAACGAACCAACCAAGAACCTATCACGCAACAAATATGCAGGAAGAAGTGGAGATGGATTGGCCATGCACTGAGAAGGCCGACTGAGGACATCACGCGTCAGGCCCTCGAGTGGAATCCCCATGGGAAGCGACGAGTTGGACGTCCGAGGGTGACATGGAGGAGGTCGTGCGAGCAGGAAATGAGAGCTTCTGGGCTGTCGTGGGACCAGGTTCAAAAGATCTCAGAGAACAGAGGTCACTGGAGGCGTGCTACTGAAGCCCTATGTTCCACTAGGAACCCAAGGGACTAATAATAAATAATAAGAAAAGACTATACCATGTACTACAAACACTTTTTGCAACTTCATTTTAACACTGTTCTATGATGCAACGAAACGGCGAACAAATGAGAGTAAAATACACAAGATTGAATCAACAATACTTTAAAAATAAAGCATCACTCATCAGATCACATTTGAGCTATCATCCACCTAATATAAAAGCATATATATGTGATTGAAAAGAAGTGTACCTCCGAGACTGGATGTCAGTTAGTTAATGGGATTTATAGGGCAATAAAATTTAAGTGCACAATAAGATGGCTACCGGAAGATGTCGACCATTTCTAATTTAGTGTCATATTCGAAGTGAAAATTGAAGGGAAATCATTGGTTCCTTTGCAAACAAACGGATAAAACAAAAACGATCCTGCGTTCCATCAGTGTTTTCGCTTGATGTTAACACTGTGTAAGTAATCGGACTCATACACACAAATCAACGTAGAATTTCCCGAAAAGGGGATCAATTAAGTAGTATACAAAGAATGACTGGATAGAAAAAAAAGTATCAGTAAAAACAAGTGTACAAGAGCAGAAGGAATTTAAAATTAGGGTCGGTCAAAACAATCAAGCATTAAACGATGTAAGAGTGAATACAACTACGTAATTATGACCGATTTTCAGTAAAGTCATCGAGAGTCCTCAACCACCGATTCCTATCGTAACACCCGATCGATAGCTGCTACTCTGACAGGGTGGTCCGACTTGCATATCACAATGACCCAACGAGCTATGCTAGCGGAACGCGTGTTCCCTCGAGGTCCCACCATGCCAGAAAGGTTTATTGGGTAATGGTCAGACGAAAAGCAGTTATCGTTGTAGTGTAAATTGCTGCACTATAATGAAGGTGTCAGGGAGAAGTAGTACTGCTAATAACTGAAAGAGGTGTGATAGCAGTAAGGTGTTTCCCGTTAATGACCTGCAGTGCCACGCTGCCTTTCTGACGGGGAGACGGGAGTTAGAAAAGGTCGCCCCTAAAAGTAACACTCCACCATGCCCCACGGTCTCCCAGTGTTGACAGTATGGGTTTTCTGTCTATGCGGTGTTAGAACAACCAAACCTCAAAAGGCTATGTGCGACAGACCTCAGCAGACGTCTCATGATCTCTGTAGTCAAACAAATCTGTTTCTTCTTCAAGTACCATAAGAAGAAATACCCTTCCATGGTGTGGGCAGGCGGAGAGTGTCAACCGACCTCACACTTCCAGTAGTACACAAGATACAATCAAGTACATCCTATCCTCCTCAACTGTTCCTCAACCTTTGCCTTCACCTCCTGACACTGAGATTAGATCACTTACGCTTTACCCAACCTTACACTCGGCAACCATTGTCAACGATCAAAGCCATCGAAACCTCATTTTAAGTTTCCTAAGACGCCACCATCGATTTCATGTTAGAGCTTTCAACGTCTAAACTTGCTATCCAAGTAAATTCCCGATGTTACGATGGTATTTTTCGAAAAACAAGACGTAGGAAGAACCTATATACATCCTGTTAGGGATGGCCAACCCCTAAGATAACTAACTTATAATATGTTTATATTATCATTGTAAAGTTTAAACCTTATTTTCGCGTCTTTTTGCACCTTGTTATGTTTCTTAATTTTACTAAACGCTGGTTGGTCCGTTTTACACTTTGAATAGGCTATTTTGTTCTCT